TACATATATGTACATAAGAAAGTATATATGTGTGTGTGTCTGGTGCTGGGGGTCAGCCTGGGCCTTCTCCCATGCTGGAAGCACTCTGATGCTGAGCTACCCCCCAGCTCCAGAAGTGACATTTGAACTTGGTCTCAAAATAAGCTCAATGTCAACTGGGGGGTGCAATGTTAAAAATTTTTTTCTTCTATTTTTAATATCTCTCTTGAGATGCCATAGACATACTGTAAAGTTTACCAATTTTTTAGTTGTTTAATGGGTATATTATGTCAGTATTGCCAGATGAAAAAGGTCTGAGGATTGCATACACAACGGTGTGAATATCCCTAAAGGTACCAAACTGTACACTTAAGAACAGCATTAATTAAGATAGGCCAGTCATGGTGGTGCCCACCTGTAATCCTAGTGATGTAGGAAGCTGAGGCAGGAGGACCATGAGTATGAGGCCAGCCTCAGCAAAATTAGTGAGGGTCTAAACAACTTAGAAGACCCTGTCTCAAAATTAAAAACAAAAAGGGCTAGTGATATGGCTCCGTTATTGGTACCTCACCCCCAGGTTCAATCCCTGCTACAACAAAACAAAACCAAAACAGCATAAGATGGGAAGAAAACTTAGCATGGTGGCACACATCTGTAATCCCAGCAGCTTGGGAGACTGAGGCAGGAGGATAGTGAATCAGAGTTAGCCTCAGCATTTTTTTTTTCACACAATATCTTTATTTTATTTGTTTATTTTTATGTGGTGCTGAGGAGCGAACCCAGGGCCTCGTACGTACCAGGCGAGCACTCTACCGCTGAGCCACAACCCCAGCCCCAGCCTCAGCAATTTATCAAGACCCTGTCTCTAAATAAAAAATATAAAAAGGGCTGGGGGTGTGGCTCAGTGGTTAAGTGCCCCTGGATTCAATCCCTGGTATCAAAACAAAAAGGCTGGGAAAAGTTTTTTTATTTTATTTTATTTTTTTCTTTTTCTATACTAGAGATTGAACTAAGGGCCTTTCACATACTAGGCAATAACTCTATCACTGAGCTACATCTCTATCCCTTTAATTTTTTTTAAGAGAGAGAGAATTTTAATATTTTATTTTTTTTTTAGTTTTCGGCAGACAACACCTTTGTTTGTATGTGATGCTGAGAGAATCGAACCCCGGGCTGCACGGATGCCAGGCGAGCGGCTACTGCTTGAGCCACATCCCCAGCCCTATCCCTTTAAATTATATATATATATGTTGTAGATAACACAATACCTTTATTTTATTTATCCATTTTTATGTGGTGCTGAGGACCGAACCCAGTGCCTCACACATGCTAGGCAAGTGCTCTACTGCCAAGCCACATCCCCAGACCCCTTTTAAACTTTTTATTTTGAGACAGGGTCTCCCTAAGTTGCCCAGGCTGGCCTCAAACTTACGATGCTTCTACCCCAGCCTCCCCAGCAACTGGGATTACAGGCACATGCCACTGTCCCTGGTAAGATGGTAAAGTTTATATGGAGTGTTTTACTACAATTCATACAAAATGTATCACATTGTGATATATGCAGTGATGGAAATATATTCAAAACAAAAGAAAACATGAAAAAACTTCATCCATTTTAGTTGTAGGATTCAATGGTTCCTGCTTTGTTTTGTTCAGTCTGGGGGTTGAACCCAGGGCACCCACCATCCTGGGGACATCCCCAAAACTTTTTTTTGGGGTGGGGGGAGGGAAACATGGTCTTATTAAGTTGCCCCAGGCTGGCCTTGACTTGGGATCCTTCTACTTCAGCCTCCTGAACTAGTTAGGGTTATAGGCTTATAGGCATGTGCCACCCTGGGTCAACTCAGTGGTGTTAGTGTACTCAGATAAGAATTTCTTTTCAGGTGCATCAAGATCTTACTGTATCTGATGGCCTCTGAGCTACCCTCAATGAGCTCCTTTGGCCTGGACCCCTGTTCTTTGCCTTTTCCTGGAATCCTCCCTCCAACCCCACCCAGCCTTGTGTTCTAGCTTATCTTCCTTCTAGAAAACTCTTCCCTCTGACAAAATCCAGGCCTCCATCAAGACCAAATCAAAAGCCACAACCCTTTCCACACCCATCCTGACCCTACAGGTGGGATCCCGAAAGGTAGGCCCTCCCTAGGGAGATTCTGAAGTCCCCTGAAGCCTAGAGCACCTTTACGTGTTTTGTTTCCACCTTATCTAAGGTGCCCCTCCTAGGACCCCTTGGGCAAAAGCCTGTCCCTCCCTGTTTTCCCCCTAGGGAGGAATCCTGGCTGCATCCTTCTCCAGACCCCTTGAGTTTCCTAGGATCCAGTATTGTCATCCAGTAGAAGTCCTTGGATGTGGTTCCGGGGCCTACATATTTGGGACACCTGAGACCTGAAGTGGGGCCTGGGACTCCATCCCAGAAACACCCCAGCGGGGACCTCAATACCACCTTCCCTCCCAAGAGGCTACTGGCTCTTTTATTCTGCCAGTATTTTGTGTTCACTGATTTGCTTCCGGCTGCTCCAAGGCCTAGGCTCGGTTGTGCACCACTCTTTGGAGTTGGTTTTCTTTGGAGCTTGTGGTGAATTATCTGGGGAAGGTGGCAGAAGGAACTTTGTGTCCCCTCTCCGTCCTAGTGCCGTGCTGTGGCTCCCACACTGTACTGGGAATTGGGCTCAGGGGTGGACTCCCAGGCACTTACTCCTAAGAGGCACATGTGGTAGCCAGTCAAGTTACAAGGAGAGCAGATGTGAGCGCAGCCTGGCCCTGCCACCTCAGGGAACACTGGGCTAGGGAGTGATCCTGTGTCCCACTGCAGGTAGTGCTCCCAGTCTCACAGCAGGGGAGTCGTGATTGCCCCTGCTAGACTGGACACTTTCCTGGACTCTTGGAGAATATACCGTTCTGTGCCCAGCGCCTGTGGTACAGTGGAACTCATTCGTTCAGTTGCTCCACAGGCAGTTGGGCATGCAGCCTCAGTTTCCTCTCCCACAAAATGGGGGTATTCATAATGCCTCCCTAACGAGCTTATGGAGAAGAGCAGAAGAAATAATGTGTGTAAGGTCACAAGGACAGAGAACATCACATAAGCTCAATTCATAGGGTCTACTGTTTTTATCAGTATTCATTTAATAAACAACTGATGAGCCCAGCCCTGTCCCTAACCTGTCATGGAAGACAGAATTCTCTTGAATCATTCCACAAATACCTTTTGAATGGCCATGTCAGCCCACTTTCCCCAATGGGGCCTTCCCAATGTCTCCTGGAATCTCTTGGAGGCTGATCCTCAGTCTTCTCCGTGTAATGAGCCAACTATCCTCACCAAAGGGTACAGGGATAAAACCCAGGCTTACAGAAGAGTGGTGACTTTCCTCAGGACACCGAGGGCTGGGATTGGGATCCAGGTCCCTGACCCCCTGGGCCATGCTTCCAGCTAACTTTTGGCACTAGACTTAAATAGATTCCAACTTCTCAGTAAAGCTAAAATAGAATAATCATTTACCAGTGGACCCCTGAGGTCTCCCACGATGGAAGAGATTTTGTGGCCAATGGGTAGAGCAGGAGTCAGCAAAGTTTTTCTGTAAAGGGCCAGAAAACAAATATTTTAGGCTTCGCAGGCCTCTGCTTCAAGTGTATGACTCTGCCAGTGCAGCTAGAAAAGAGCACAGAGCAGCATTCGAAGAGAGTATGGCCATATTCCAATAAGATTGTATTCATGGACACTGAAATATGATTTTTCATGTCATGAAATGTCAATTCTTTTGATTCCCCACCCCACCCCATCCATTTAAAAATGTAAAAACCCTTCTCCACTCACAGGCTGTTCAAAAACAACGAATGCCTCTCTGGAGCGAGGTAGAATCCAATCTTTATTGATTTTAGGATTAGAGATATGAAAAGCTATTATTATTCTAGAGAGGGCCCCCAGGCCTGACCAGCTGCGGAGGGAAGGGTGGGTCAGCTAATCTTCTGTGGCACATTCCTTGGTGAGGAGTGGAATAAAAGACCTTCCTGGTGGACCCAGCAACCTCCCTAAACCTGGAAATTGATGACAATAATCACTACTTTAGAGAGTTAAGAAGTTTAAATGACATACAGAATGGTAAAGGGTTTCATAAAACGCAAATGTTTATTCACTTGTTTCCACAGAGGCATACTACAGATACCATGCTGACTTGATTCCTCTGAAAGCCTTCTACGAAGTTTGATGTGATACTGTCCCTTTAAATTCTTCCCAACCACCTAAAGTAGTCGGACAAGTCGGCACATGCGCATTCCTCTGCGGGACCG